TGTACTCTGAAGTGATGAGGCTAATAGTCCTGCACACCTGCTCAGGGAGTTGAGCTAAGTGATGGACATAGATCCCTTAGTACAAGGTTCCATTCTGGGGACCAAAGTCCCTGTTCCTTCTTTCTGGGTCAGGAACTTTCCAAAGGGACACAACACTGCTGGAGGCACCTTCAAAGAGCCTTGACCACCGATCCCAGAACTCATGCTGAATGGCTTTGTGAGTGCAGAATCCTGAGGAGTTCTTTACTTGAGTTGCTCAAGTCCCACTTCGATTGATTGGTTGATTTAGAGGCCTATTTAAAATGCAGAGTAGCGAACAGCAAGGAGATAGACAGAAAGAGAGAGAATCTTCTATTTACTGGTTCACTCCCCAAATGGGCTGAGCCATGCTGGAGCCAGGAGCTGGCAACTTCAACCTGTTCTTCAACATGGGTGGCAGGAGCCCAAGTACTTGGGTCGTTGTCTGCTGCCCCCTAAGGTGCATTGGCAGGGAGCTGGACCAGTACCAGTCTCAAGTCATACCTTTACAGGGCTACTGAGGAGAGAAGGCAGGTGGAAAACAGGTGGTGAGATATTTTGGAGGAGATTGATAGAGACAAACCCCAATACCATGACAGAGGACACCTGGGTGGAAAACTCAGATAGGCAAGGGATAAGAGGAGATGCCACTATGATAGTGCTGCCTCAGGACTGTGGGTTCAGATGGCATGTGCTCCTTTTGTGTCTCCTGGGCTAAGGTCACAGAGAAACATTAGTGGGACAGACTGAGAGAGGGTGGGCTGGTGTTCTCACCATACTTGATGACAGACTTCAGACGAGTAGTCCCAGCTGTGGCCTCAGTCCACTAACTGCATTGTCCTTCTTCTTTGTCTGCACAAGATGCTCCTTACCTCTCAGACAAGGAGAGCAGCCTGTGAGAAATAGGAACAGTGAGAGAAATCATGTTGATTGTGATGATGGTGACATCTGCCTCTACGTGTCTCATGTGCGCCTGTGACATGTTTTGTTTGCGTCATTTCCAATTTGGGTGGAACTTTTTCCCTGTGAAGCCAACTAGGAGTATAGGGCTGAGATTACTGGGACTTGTGGGATGGTAGACAGGCAATACCAGAGTTGTGTGTGTACTTCTTTCCCCCGAACGTCCCTGAATGTGTTGCAGTATCTCTGAGATGGATCCTGGGACACTGCTAAAGGCTGTATCATCAGGCTCCAGCTGTTCTCTGCCTCTTCTTCACAGCATCCTTCTACGACCCTCCATAGTGTTGCCTTGTCCTATATCAGGCCTTCCCATGCTCTCTTTAGAAGTCATTTTAAACTTCACAGGTAGTAAGGTTCTACTCCGTGCACAAAAACTCCCAACTCATTTCCTGAGTTGGATTCTGGTTCCTTCCATACTAATCCTTTTTTGCTGAGAATTTCAACTCCTACGGAAGCACCTTGAAAAGAGCCTTGATAATCCTCAGTGCCTTACACCAACCACGTTGCAGTGGCCACCTTAGGTCCTAGTGTAAGTCTTGTCTCACTCAATAATTTATAAGGATTTAGAAGGCAGGGGTTGTGCTTTCCATTACCCTTGTGTCTTAGGCAGAGTGGATTTGCAGTAACCATTATTGGAGAGATAAAAGCCCTGACTGTTTCCTTCCTTTATTACAGAGTTACACCTTTGAGTCCTGCATTGTCACTGCTACATGGGTGACTCAGACCCCAAGGAGAAAGGATGTGGTCAGACCCCTGCTCCACCACTGCCTCCTCCTCCACTCTGGATCTCTTTAGTAAACCACAGATGCCACAGTCTTTTGTGCAAACTGGATGGTGATGGAGAGGCTGGCATTCCCCATGGTTTGTGCCATCGGGATATTGTAGGGTAGACATACTCAGGAAGCTTGCTTTCAGATCCTAGAATCACATTCCTTGCTTTCCCTACTCTGGTCTCCCAAGGCCTGCGGCACATCACATGAGGTCTGTTCTGAAGGCTGAGGTCACCACACGTGCTGTGATGGGACTGACTAGCTCACTAGTGGCACCTACTCCATTCTAGCTGCTGGTGGAGGCAAAGGCTTTTCAGGACCATGGACAAGGCCCTCGAGGGGCAATCCTGTTTTCTCTCTTTAAAACAAAACCAAAAACCAAAAAAAACCACCAAGCTTTGCTGCATTTCTAGAAGCCAGTGATGCTGGGCATCCCTACACAAACAATCTTGGTCTGAACCATTAAGTGGGGCCCTTTGGTCATCCAACCAGGCTGACTCATGTCCAGTAATTGGCTCCCACTGGAATTAAAGTCCTTTAGGTATTTCCTATGGGTTTCCTGGGTCTCAGAGGGGTCTTTACTGACTTTCCAATTGCATATGGACTTATCCAACTCAATATTCTTATTTAAAGCAGTGGAACACTCCATGATATTTTCTCTTCCTTTGAAAATTTTTTTTTAGTATACACATTTCATATTCTGCCTTTAGAGTTATTTCTGCTGCACAGCTGCTTTACGGAGACACAGACTCCTACGGGCCCGCTCTGTCCGACACGTACCTTGAATATCCTTTCACAGTGTTTGATTTCTGCAGTTGGTTGTATAATGAGGAAGGAGTGTGCAGGGAGTTTGGAGAGTCCTATTAACCAGGTCACCCATGAATCTATCTTCTTCTGTTTCCTTATTGGAAGTTCCAGAGAACACAGGAATATTTAAACACAACCGTTTAAAGGAGTTTGGCTTTAAAGAAAAAGATGCCTTAGTAAATTTTCTGTTCCATTGGACACTTGAAAATGTTGTACTACGTTTTCCTGTTGTCAGAACACCTTTTCTACCACTTGCCTTCTAGGGACTGGGACAAATGGCAATCAGCACTCGGGATTATCCTTGGCTCCTATGGCCCGCTGCGCTGCCGAAACTATCGCTGGGGTGCCCCTCTTCCTGGCACTACTTTTGAAGATAGAATATCCTGAACAAGACACAGACCCAGATGGTTGCACAGGGTGGGGCTTGCAATCAGACGGGGAGACTTCTTCTCTACTCCTCGAGGTGGGGGGAGTTATCCCGTGAAAAAGGAGTAACATTTGTGCTGGGTGTTATCTACAGAGAGAGGGACTGAATGAAAGCCGGAGTCAGGCAGATTCTGACGCCAACTGAGGGGAAGTCCATGGCCTTCCTGGAACAGTTTACCTTTGGAGGGAAGGAGTAGATGTCCAGGCACAGCAGGTGCTGGACTCTAGGCCAGTGGAGCCATCTGCCAGGAATGCTCCTTCCAGAAATAACAAGTCCACATTGGCCACGAGATACAGCAGGTGGCATAGCTATCGGCAGTGTAGGGTATTGACAAACTGGAGATCCTATCGTCTCGCAGGAGCAGGAGCTGTGGCTGCTTCCGAATTGCTGAATACAAAAACCATGATGGGACCTCTGTAGCCAAGGCCAAGGACAGAAAGTGCACTTGGAGCTTTGAAGTGGGCAATCTTTTACTTCAAGCAGGTGCTTTACTTAGTGGGGCCAGCTCTTGATCAAAGTCATTTCAAATGCACTGTCATTCTCTGTTTTGTTGCAACATTTGTGACTTGACCAATATCAGAATGTTCATTAAAAATATGAGCTTTCTTAGATGCTGAGGGATTTTTATACTTCATGTTGCACCTTCTTATGCTTTTTCTTCTTTGATCCTCATTATCATTCTCTAATGAAGCGTGCTAGATATACTTCAATTTCTTTAGGGAAGGGAATTGAGACACAGGGGATAGAAGGACTCACTCAGCATCTTGTGGTAGCAGGAGACATGGGATTGGTGTGGGGGGATGGAAATTGAAATCCTGCAGGCTGGGAAGTGTTCCTGCCGTGCCAACCACCAGCAGTGCTGTTGGGAGCGATCTTTTAAAGGGGGATGAGCTCCAGGGTGCCCATCACGTCAACTGTTGTCTGTGAGTCTTCTGCCTCTCCCTCTCTGGCATTCTGCCTAGTCCCATACTTGCTTTTGGCCTGAAAGTCGGAGGGGAAGTGAAGGAGCACTGGTGAGAGCTTTCTGGGTCCTTGTTTGTGTCTCCAGGGTGACGACACAAGGCATGCCTTAGATCACATTTACTGGCAGGGATTGGGAGTGCCACGGGGTGGTCCTGGGATGCATTCTAATTTAGATTTTGGAAGCGGAGAACATGACAGTGATGTGGAGTGGTGGATGTGGCCATTGTGAACTTTGCAACTCTTGGTAGGAGAGCTGGCTCGAACATTGAGCTTTCCACATGATACAGGGAATGAAGATAGAAGGAATGCTACAGTTCAGTCTGATTTTATTGTTTAATTTCTTAAGTAGAGCCATGAACTGAAAACTAGATTTTATGCTACTTATTAAGGCTCTTGACAAAGCTAACTTGTTCCTTGGCTACAGATGCAATATATGTTCATTATAGAAAATTTGTACAACTGAAGACAATTACAAAAGCAATTATCTATAATCTCCCAAAGATTAGTATTACCAACATTTTGTTAGAATTTACTGGAATATTTTTCTATGCATCTGCACGTTTGAAATGTATTATACTTCTATACACAGTGTTTTTTTTTGTGTGAACCTCTTTTTATCATTAACAGCAAACCCTTTCTTGTTTCTTGAAGAAGGCTCTTAAGGAAGGATTTGATTTGAATTTGGATATGGGAGACAGGTTGTATTGCAGTGTGGGCGTCACAATGCATTTAACCCATTTCTTGTAGGGCATATTGAGTGTTTACGATAATTGGCTTGTGAAAATATCCTTTTGTGTAAGTCCTTGTCAAAGCACTGGGTATAAATCTGGTTTTGTTCAAACCTGGACTCCTATTTGTGGGGTGCCAGGGCATCTGTGAGAGTTATAAACCATAGGTATTAGATTCCTATACTTCAACACTGTGAGTATTGCCAGCACCACACTACACTGGTCTAGGCGTCCGGTTTTTTACATGGTTGATATTTAGCCTTGATGTGAGTGTCCTGGACTCATTTTTCTTCCTTTTTTTCCCCCTGTCGATTCTCCTTTAGCCTGATGAAGTCCTCCGATATCGATCAGGATTTATTCACAGACAGTTACTGCAAGGTGTGCAGCGCACAGCTGATCTCGGAGTCTCAACGTGTGGCCCACTACGAGGTAAGGATGGCTTTTCCCCACGCTGGGGAAGAAAGTCACATTGTCGTAGGGCTCAAGTGTGCTCTTTTGCTGCTCTCGGGGGGCAGATTTTCAGAGCCTGCACAGCATGGTGTGTCCTCTTCTGTTGGGAGTGAGGCCATGGGGATAGCATTCCCTGCTCTCAGTGCTTCCTACAGCCACTGCCTTGTGAATACACACCTCTTCCCCCGGGGACTCAGTGTGCCTCATTTGCTCATCTCTGAGTTTCCTTCAGGGGGACAGGACAGAATGCAACCATGCCAGCTCCACCGTGGCTCTCAAGTTAAGCCAGCAAGCCTCTGCAAGGCCCTATAGTGAAGTGGGTGGTGTGAGGAGCTCAGCATCAGCGGTGTCTGTCCACAGAATGACCAATACCCTAAGAGTTGAGTCAGAAGAAAGACTTGCTCTGTCGAGGTATAGCAGAATTTCCAGGTCCAAAAGCTCCTGCAATGCAGGGTTTTGAGGATGGAAGAATGCTTTAAGATTTTTCTTTATTCCTTGTTAGGAAAAGAAAGTGAGAGAAGGAGGTTGTCCTGTGATCCCTGGAAGGAATGGGGTGCTGCAGGCTTGCTCTGTTTAGCAGGAAGCATGAGCCAGCAGGTGTGTGGGCCTTTGAGCATCCTAACATGAACGTAGTTGAGGTGGGAGGGGCTCAGCCTAAAATTTTCTGTTTGTTGGATGTTTCTGACAAACCCTAGTTGCCACCTCTCAACTCTTCCAGACTTCATTTGTTCCATGTACAATGAAAATAAATATGGCATCTTTCTCATATATACATACACTCACACACAGAGAAAGAGAGTCAACCAACCCTGCATATCCTCTGGGCTTTGTAGTACCCAAATGAGAGCCACTGAAATATGCTTGATGAAAATACTCTGGAAGCTGCCAAAGAAGACTGATTGGCACCCCAATGCTGGCCATTAGTGGGTTCTCTGCAGCAGCATTTGGATGAAGACAAATTTTGCTCTTCAAGGAGAACTCTTAAAACCAGTATCTTTGCAAAAAGTTACTGTCTACATCCTTTCCTGGGGACTGGCCTCAGGGCTGCTCCTATCTGCTAATGCTCAAATCCTTTCTATAATATGACGTAGCTTCTGCACAGAGCCTACATACGTCCATCCTCATGCTTTTGTTTGTCTTTGGATTACCTGTAATACCCAAGTCAGTGCCTGCACATAGCTTTATGTATGTGAATTGAGTGTCATTGTTGTTATAGATAAATTCAAGGTTTGCGATTTGGAACATTCTGGAATTTTTTGTTTTCGGGTGTTTTTCATCTGTGAATGTGGGACTCATGAAGAGCTGCCTGTCTGTTCTTCCTGTTGAGAATCAACCAAGTGTGGGTAGTGAATGTGAGGTTAATTAGCTGAAAGGGAAAATGCCCATCTTTTGAAATGAAGAACTTTTCTCATTTCTGCTGATATGGATTCATCAACATGTTCCATTTTATGAATATTACTAATGGAAATAGACTCCTTGGAAATGTTGCTATGAGGCTGATTTGGAGCATGGGACAAGTGACTGAGACCCAGGAGACATGAGCTCAATGATAGTGAGTCCTGAAAAGTGTTCCACAGCGACCAAATGCTACGAACTCCACAACAGTAGATTTTCATTTGCCATTACACAGTGACATTGGCTTAGCTTTAGGGTCATGTGGGTGAATTTCATACAAGGTCGGAGGTTGTTATCTTTAGGACATGGTTGACTATAACATCTCTGGAGATAGTGAGGGTACCATCTCTGAAAAGAAGGCTACTAATACATTTTTAAAAATTAATTACATTGTATTATGTGACACAGTTTTACATTGCATTATGTGACACAATTTTATAGATACTGGGATTCCTCCCACCCCTTCCCTTACCCTCCCCTCATGGTGGATTCCTCCACCTTGTTGCATTACCACAGTTCAAGTTCAGTTAAGATTCTTTCATTGCAAGCATATACCAAGCATAGAGTCCAGCATCTTATTGTCCAGATAAGTTCAACGGCTTCTTGGGGAGACCATCTGTGGTCTGAAGGTAGAGCTGGCAGAGTGTCATCCCGATCATATTAATGCGTTTTTTTTTAAAGATTTATTTTTTATTATTTTTTTATTGGAAAGGCGGATATACAGAGAGGAGAGACAGAGAGGAGAGACAGAGAGGAAGATCTTCCATCCGATGATTCACTCCCCAAGTGAGCGCAACGGCCGATACTATGCCGATCCGAAGCCAGGAGCCTCTTCCGGGTCTCCCACGCGGGTGCAGGTTCCCAAAGCTTTGGGCCGTCCTCGACTGCTTTCCCAGGCCACAGGCAGGGAGCTGGAAGGGAAGTGGGGCTGCCAGGATTAGAACCGGCGCCCATATGGGATCCCGGGCGTGCAAGGTGAGGACCTTTAACTACTTGCGCCACCACGTCGGGCCCATTAATGCGTTTTTAAAAGAAAGATTGATTTATTTTTATTTTAAAAACTGACTTACAGAGAGAATGAAAGAGAGATCTTTTATCTGCTGGTTCACTCCCTAAATGGCTGCAACAATGGAAACTGGAACTGATCTTCCAAATATCTCACATGGGTACAGGGCCCAAGCCCATGAGCCATCCTTTGCTGCTTTCTCAGGAGCATTTGCAGAGCTGGAATGGGAGTGGAGCAACCACGACACAAATGGCCATCGTGTAAGATGCTGGCACCACAGGTGGAGGATTAGCCTGATGTACCATGGTGCTGGCCCATATGCTAACAAATTCTAAGAAGGGCATTGCTGAGAATGGATGGGGGATGATAGATAAAGAACAAAGCATTCAGTTGCAAGGTGGCTCCAGATTTCCAAGGTGAGGCAGAAGACCCTGTATGCACACCACCCAGGTCCAACTAAGCTGGAGGGTAAGACTTCACAGCTGTGCCCACACCCCTAGAAGACAGGGCCCTGCAAGGGTCTCTCTGGAATGCTTTGCAAGCATTTGAGGGGCCGTTTGTCCTGGCTTTTGCTCCCAACATTGGCTCCCAATTCTGGCTTCCTGTGCATGCAGACTGTTGGGAGGCAGTGGTGATGTCACAAATAATGGGGTCTCTGTTACCCACAGAGGGGACTGGGAAGGAGTTTCTTGCTCTTGGCTTCAGTCCTGGCCCCTACTGGCTGTTGCAGACAAGTGAGGAGTGAGCTAACAGATGTCTGTTTGCCTGTCTTTCTCACTTATCTATATCTATGATGCCTTGGGTACGCTGTCCAGCCCTGCCTTGCTACTTGAATTAGAAAAGTGATGTCCAAACACTGACAACTTGAAAAGCACCAAGCAAAACAAAGCAAAAAGTAAAGCAAACACATAAATCGAACATCAGAGATCCCCAAAGCTAAAGTCAGTGGCTCAATCAGTTTTCCTGACTGGATCCAAGTTTCCTTGTTAACATCCTAGGGTTTGCTGAGTGTAGCATGCATGGGATCGAGAAAGCAGGGCAATTACAATAGATCTGCCATTAACAGTGTTCCACATCATCAAAGCAGCCTTCAATGCATTCCCATTAAGTAGGCACTTGGAATGACTTCCTCCTCCCTGCAGAGCGGGGCACTCCCTCCTGTGCTGTCTGGCTGTGCAGCTGCCCAGCTTGTAAAAAGGCACAGGGTAAGAATCCAGGGCTCCTACTTCCCCAAGGCTCTGAGGCTGGTTCTCTCTCCCAGTGTATCTGCTCTCTCTGTGTGTACCTCGTTGGCTGGAATTTCAGGTCACATGTGTCTCTTGAAAACTGAGGTCCCATGTAGCTCACAGCCTTCCTGCTCGTCCGTTGTTTTCATGTGATTACACTTCGGTTTAACCTGGTAGCATTCTCTGCCATCCTGGTGGGATCAACTGTGTTTTCTGTGTGTCCAGCAATGTTAGTGTTCATCACGGCAGGGTGTTCTGAACCTCGAAGAGGGATGAGCCCAACAGCTCGTAAGTAACCCAAAGGGAAATCCTAGAGAGGATTCAGCACAGTAAGAATTCTGGTGCTTGCTTCCCAGGAGCTGCTGATCCAGGCTCTTGTCTTGCACCTAGGCAAGCATTCTAAGTGCACACACATGTATGCTTCGAGAATAGTAACAGATTTATTTCAAAGGTGAGAAGATGGACACACCTGCGTGCAGGAGCCATGGGCTGACCCACACAAAGGAACATACATTGTCAGTAGGTGGTGGGCCAGCAGGTTGCCAGAGACGAGGAAGACTGGAGGAGGGGAGATAGAGAGGGCGCTGGCGGCATCTCCAGCTGTGCTTCATGGAGAGAGGAGGGGAAGAAAGGAAGGAGGCAGAGAGAGTGTGAGAGAACGCCTACCAGCTTGGACTTCTTTGATGAGGCCGGGGGCCAGGCTTTTCCAGGTGTGTAGCCACCTGGGAATCCTGTGGCACTTGCAAGTGGAACACAGCACCCATGATTTCATGGCGTCCCCTGTGCCCTTGGGTCCTGAATGAAACAGGTACATCTCAGGGAGGGGTCAAGTAGGAGGAAAGAGGAGGAGAGGAGAAGGGGGCTCGTTTGGTTTGAGTGAGGGAAAGGAGAGAGGGCAGTGCGCCTTAGTTGGGGGGTGTGTAAAGGAAAGGGGGGCTTGGGTTTTTGTGAGGCTTTGAAGCCTGTGGGAATATAACATTGTACAACAGCATTTCGTAGTGGCAGTCAGCGGGGTGTATTGTTAGGGAAAAGAACAGCTCTTTTTTTTTTAAATATTTATTCGAAAATCAGAGTTATAGAGAGAGGGGTGCACTCATGCATGCGTGTACATACACACACACACACAGAAAGAGAGAGAAAGATTTTCTATCTGCTTGGTCACTCCTCCACCTGGCCACAGTGCCCGGGGCAGAGCCATGCTGAAGCCGGAAGTCAAGAATTTCGTCCAGATTTCCCAAGTGTGTGTAGAAGCCCACACTGGGCTGTCTTCCAGTTCCCAGGCCATCAGCAGGGAGCTAGATCAGAAGTGGAACAGTCTGACACGAACCGTCACCCACATAGGATGCCGGCTT